ATTCCCCTTATTAATATTATTATTATTATTAATTTTTAAAATTAAATGCATTTATTTATTTTGTTATATAGTCATTAATCTTTGTACAGTATTTGATTTCTTCCCTCAGTGTAGTCCCTGTAGTTCTGCTCCCAGCATGGCACCTGTGATCCATCACCATAGTCGCTTGTGCTCTTCCCTCCCCTGTTTTGGGCCCTCTCCCTTGGTGCTCCCTGATATATGCCCCAGATGTATGGTCATTTTGCAAATTTTGTCTTTTTCCTCACCCTTTCTTCAGTTTCTCTATATTCCACATGTAAGTGAAACTACATGGTATTTATCTTCTTAGCTTGATCTCTTCCAGCTCCATCCATGTTGCTGCAAATGACATGAGCTTTCCTTTTTGACTGCTGAGTAGTATTCCACTATGTATTTATACCACATCTTCTTGATCCATTCATCTGTTTGGTGGCATTTGTGTTGTTTCCATATCTTGGCTATTGTAAATAGTGCTGCAATAAACATAGGAGTGCAGGTTTGCTTTTGGATCAGTATTTTTGTGTTCTTTTGGTAGATTCCTAGGAGTGGCCACCATGTTTCTCTATAAGAAGTAGTGTTGTGTCCACTGGCACAAATGCCTCATTTACATTATCATCCTGCCCTCTCTCTTCTTTCCTCATTAGCCCCTGACATTCAGAGTAGCATGGCCCAGCTGCAAAATGATTGTAAATAGACATACACACAAGCATGGGCATCACAGTCCTGTGGCAAGATCCAATTGCAGCATAGTCATCCAGATAATCTGGAATATCCTTGCATCCAATTTTAAAAGTATTATCTTCAAAATGAAATGTCCAAGCTCAAATTCTCAGAGGGACTATATCTGAGGACTTTCAGCAGATGCCAGTTTGAGAAACATTGGTTCACATCCTGCCTAGAAACCTAAAGTATTTGAAGCAGCCTCTAAAACTAAACACAATATAAAAAGTAGGTAAGACCAGGGCCCTAGATGGAATGTAAGCGAGATGAAGAGCCAGAATTGCCACTGAGTGACCTGGCAGCAAGAGCAAAAGGTAAAACACAACCTGTGAGCTGGGTCTTACATCTAGAAAGGAAATAGACACGTTCTCGGAAGATACAAACTCCTTGAGGAGAATTGCCGCTTGAATCCTTTCTGGGTGAGAGTTTGGGGATCCGATACACAAAGAAAGACTTAAGATAATTTCTTTTAAAATAACTCTTGGGACCTCATAAAAGCTGAGAGGATGTCGGTAACTTTATACCACTGGGTACGCTATTGGTGTTTTAATGTTGCTTCATGTTGGGGAGGACCTTGGGGTTTTTAGAGTACCCTTATTCAATTATTTGAGTCTCAGGATAACAAAGGTGGTGTTATCTTCAGGGAGGGAAGGGCTTGAGAGGGACTCACACACTCACATGGGCAATTTGGGTCCATCCCATTCTGTCAGTGGGTCTCAGCGGTGCTTATCTGGCTTCATTTCCTTCAAAGGAAATTGAATCTGCTCAAGCGGTTGGATCTTGACCCGGTCTGTAATGTAAGCAATGGTGTCATCACTCAGCACTGCCAAAGTCACCCCGCAGAATGAATGGCCTCCTGCCTGACTTCCTAAAATGACTTAGCTACTGGTAGCTATCTAAGATGACTAAATTAATAGACCTACTTGGGCGGGGGGTTTGCTTATGTGGCCCCTCTGAGCCCTGGGGGGCACCAGTGCTGTGCTATTAGGATCAAGCTTATTTTGTCAAGCTGGTGAAATGACTAGTCCACAGATTCCGTTGCTTCTTTTCTCTTCATTCCAGTCTTCGTTATTGAAGTGACTTTCTCACTGTGGAAAATACGAAGATACACGAATGGTTGGAAGGAGGGAAGGAAGAAAAGAGGGAGGGAGGGAAAGGTCATGTACAATCTGCACATTTTCTTTCAACTCTTTAAAATGCACTTTCTTAATGTATTGATAATTGGTATCCTACAATATAAGATATATGATTTTATATCCTATTTTGCTTAATATAATGTTGTAAACTTTTACTTAAAACTATTTGAAAATAATATTTTTAATATTCTGTTGTCAGAAAGGTTGTTTCCATTTTTCACTGATGTTAAGTATGATTTAGCATACTGTCTGCATTTTGTATATTTATTTTCCTCCTTAAAGGAGGAATCTCATTAAATGAGATTTCTGGATGAACAATTTTGTGGCCCCATGTATGAACATTTTAAAGACTCTTTCTTTGTTACATGGACACATGCCTTTCCAGAAAAGTTGTACCAGTTTCAAATGAGTCTGTCCTACCTCATCTTCAAACAGCACCGAGTCTACTATAAAACATTTCCTAATTTGGCAAGGTAGAATAGCATTATGTTACTTTTATTTGCATTCCCGTGATGACTGGTGTTAATGAATGGTATTTTATTTTGGGTGATGGGAAGATAATTTGTATTTCTTCCTTTGTAGTTATCTACTTACTGGGCTTCATGTATTTTTAAAGAAATTTCTATGACCGCTTTATATATTAAAGAGATTGGTTTGTTGTCATATCTTTTCAAATTTTTAACTGGTTTATGATTAGCCTTTGGAATTTTTTGTAACAGCTTTATTGAGATATAACTTACAATTCACATAACTTAAAATTTACCCACATTTCAATATTTTTGTGTACTCACAGATTTGCAGCGCTATCAACATAATTAGTTCTAGAATATTTTCATCTCCTAAAGAAACCATATACCCTTTAGTTATCACCCCCAAACCTACTCCACTTCCAAATACCTCAGTTCTAGGTAACTACTAATTTCTTTTTTGTCTGTGCAGATTTGCCCATTTTGGACATTACCGATATTTGGAATCATATAATATTTGGTCTTTTGTAACCAGTATCTCACTATAATGTTTTCTCATCTATAATGTTTATCTCATCTATAATGTTTTCAATGTTTATCTATGTTATAGCATGTATCAGTATTTTATTCCTTTTCATGACTTAATAATATACTACATTTTGTTTATCTGCTTATCAATTGATGGGCTTTGGGTTATTTCTATCTTTTGGCTATTACAATTAATGCTTTTATAAACATTACAGACATTTTGTATTTTAGAATTTGTTTATAAGATTTTAATTCATTTCATCAGTTCTATTACTTGTTTGGATTGCATTTATTCAGTTGTTTAAGAAACAAATCTGTGATTAACTAGTGTTAACCAGTGATAAAATTTTCACTTTTTTAATTTTCACAATGCATTTTATATTATTTTTTATTTTGATCTACAATCCATTTAAATTTTATTTTGGAGTGTATGAGAATGAACAAGAATTGTAATTCTAGCCCCTTCTCTTTCCTCCATCCCTACCCCAAATAAATTTCCAGCACCTTCTGCTGAATCATAGTTGTCCTTCTCACCAACCGTTTTCTTTATTCTGTACTGATCTTTTAAAGCTTCCTTATTCACATATTAAGTTTTTATAAACACATAACTTAATTTTTTTAGCTATCATATTTGATTGCTCTGATTTGTTAGTATTTCATAAATTTAGTACAACATAAGACTACTTTTTATTATTTTTATTACTATTAATATTATTTAAACCTTAGTGGGAGACATACCTATTCAAATGAAATGTTTCTAGATAGGAAAATTAAATATAATAGAAGAAGTACATTGGTTGAAATGCAATTTTAAATTCACTGCAAGGAGGTCTCATATGTAGCTTATACTGTCCATTGTATTTGAAACTGAGTTTTTTTGATAGTCAGATTTTCTACTTATTTTGAGACAATTGGTAATTTTATTTTTCTATAAAAATTATATTGAAAGTTTTCAGATTTCTTAGCATTAAGCTTTCACCTCAGTCTGTTTCTGAAAATTTTTCTCCATATCTGTTACTATTATTATCCCATTCTCATTTGGCTTAGCTATATTTTCTGTATTCTTTTTGTTTTTATTTTTTTAAAGATTTATTTATTTATACAAGTACTGGGGTATAGGCCAGAGGCACAGGAGAGTGAGAGAATTCACCAGAGACAGAGCGGGGAGCAGAACAGGCAGACCCACCTTAGACACTGCTGAGGGGAGCAGTGAGTGAGGCAGGAGAGGTCTGCTGCGCCATGTGGGTTGCTCCCTGGCTGGCCGGGAGTCGGAACCTGCGCTGCAGAGGCTGCAGACAGCTTCACAGCACAGAGCTCAACCCGCTGTGCCACCAGGGAGGCCCTGTATTCTTTTTTTTTTTTTTTAAGATTTATTCATTTATTTAAGAACTGGGGTATAGGCTCTAAGAGCCTTAGAGCTCTGGTCATTTCCAACAGCATCATGTGGTTCTGTGCCACACCCCACACCCCTCCGCACCCCACCCCATGCCCCTTGGTACCCCAGTTCTGCTCTGAAACTGGGCGTGCTCTAAGCTTTCCACAGTAAGGGTGTGGCAGTGATACCGATCTGGAACCTGATTACACTGAATATCTAAGGTTTACTGAAATTGACTGCTTTTCCCTGTTGCTCCAGAGGGGGGTGACATTGACTGACCATATGGCTGAGGAATAGTGACCTCCTGGACAACACAGGTTTAACTTGCTTTTCAAAGGCTGACCTTTAAGTGGGCATCATGTTCTTGACCCCACTCTTGAGGATAAGGGGCCCGCTTTCTTCTCAGCCACCAAAGCCAGTCCTGTATGCCTGGAAGTGATGCTTCTGGAAGCCTGTTGGTTGCGAGTAGACCTGCCATCCTCTGGCAGCAGCCTACCTCAGACTTCATGACCTTCCTCTCCACCATCATCCTCTGACTGTAACCCTCCTCTGTGGCCCATTTAGTGGTTGGATTTCCCTCATGAGGTTCTCTTTCATGATATCCTGAGTCACTCCATTTAGCTTGTATGTGTTTGCCATTGGGGCTATTTCCTATTTGGTAATGTTTGGGGCTTCCGTGGGATGATGTTTGGGGCTTTCATCCCCACCAGTTCTTCTTCCTTCTGTTCCCATTCAGTGGTGTCATCTGTTCCGTAGATTCTGGCTGTGACTCAGTCACTGATACTGAGACTGAGGACGAGAAGGTCCTTCCCTACTCCAAGCAGCAGAGCCTGTCAACAGAGACCTCACCTGGGAACCTGATGGTGGTGCAGCCGGACCGCATCCGCTGTGGGGTAGGTGCCCCTGGGGCATGGGTGTTGTGGAGGGTGCATTTGTTGTGGTAAAGGGGGCAGGGTTCTGCCCTTGCACTTCAGTGTAATTCTAGCCTGCCTTTGAAGTTTCCCATACGTTAGCCAACCCGGGAGCCCTAGTTCCTGGGCCTTGGGCATGCCTTACTCTAAGTCAAAGGGAAATGAGCTCAAAGTGTTCATCAGGCTAAGAATTTTAGTCCAAAGATCAAAAATATAGAATGTGTGGGAGAACTGAAAGGGCATTACTGACACTTATGCCAAGCCTGGAGTTAGAGACCTGGGTCTGTTTCTGCCAGCCTAGTGCTGGTAGGAAGGAACTGCAGAGCATTTTGAGAGCTTGCTTCTCTGTTGACTGGCCACTGGCATGGCCCGAATGAGTGACTGGAAGCTTGATGGCTTAAAATTGCTAGCCAGCATTGCTGGCTAAAGGGTTAAGATAAATGCATTAGGCAGCTAGCATTTTCAGGTTTGGGACCTATATTAACAGGTGACTTGTACGTGTTGGCCAATCCACGGGCTTGTATCATTTCATCCTGACATAGTATTGAAGACTGTCATTATTTTCCTTTCCTGAGGAAAAATATGTGATATTTATAACAGTTCAAAGCAGAAAAATCCTTCCCTGTGGGTACAAGCCCTTTGCTAAATTTTCCACAAAGGACTCCTTGACATAGCAGTGGGGAGCACTTTGGCAATGGGAAATTCTAGCTCCCTTGCACTGGGAGTGGTTTTCTGTGACGCCCAAGGCAACGAGGCATGGAACAAGGGCCTCCTACATGTGAGTTGCTACACTCATAGACATGTTTGGTTTGGACAGCCCAGTGTTTTAAATTTAGGCATGAAAATCGGTGTTTCCATCTTCCACTGAATCAGTATCTGACAATACTAGACCAGAAATGAGTTGCAGCCTTTTAGACAGGATGTGTATCCCATAGTTCCCGCCACTCGCTTTTCTTTATTCTCAGCATACTTCATGCCTTGCGTTACTGGCCAGGCCCTTGTGGGTATTTCAGTTTTCAGTATCCCCATATTCCTTCTTACATCCCCCTGTCCCTCTGTCCTGGGATCACACTGATGGGTGCCTGTGGGTGAGGGGCCTGGGAGTAAAGAATTGTGCCCTCCTCATGCCTCCCTGAAGCTCCAGACTTTGTTCCTTCCCTCCCTGGCTCCCCTCTAACCCAGGATTCTCCTTGTTGTACACTTTGGGTTTCTGGGTTCTGGGATGGCTGGGCTGGGTTTGGATCTTGAATGTCATTAGAGGAGACACGTTCTCTCTCTCTGGCTTCCTATACTCCATGGGAAAAAGGGGAGATAGAGCAAGGCAGGGCCTGCAGTGGGAATTAGATCAGCCACGGATATATTCGCATGTAGACTTAGCAGCCCCCAGGAGCCAGGGCCATGCCCCCTCTCACCTGGTGTGAAGTTGTGACAATTGTATTGAAGGGCTACTATGAAGATTTTAGTAGAATCTGAGGTTGAACATAGGTATTAGTGAGGACCAGAAATCTCTCCTTTCCCCTGTTTTTTTGGAGGATCAATTCTTTCCAGTTCAAGGTCTTGAGAGGACCATATCCCAGTTTAACCAGCAAAATGAAACAAGAAAATTCCATCTGGTGTCTCAGCAAGAGATCCCAAAGCAAGATATTCAGATTAACCAGTGTCTTGGGAAAATCAATCCTCCAGGAAGTTATTTTTGTGCAATCAAGAGCAGCATAAGGAGCAAAACCCAAGAGGACTTCTCTAGACTGGTGCTATCTAATGTAAGGTGCAGGGGAGTCACATGTGGGCCTTGCAGTGCACATTTTGGTTCAGCAGCTCCAGGAAGGACTTGAGATTCTAACAAGTGTGCAGGGAATTCTGATGCCACAGCCCCTTGGCCTCACCTTGAGTAGAAAGGCTAGTCTAGAACAGTACTTCTCAAACTATCTATCGTGAGAGACCCTTTTGTTTTTTAAGGTCCTAATTCATTTTTTCCTTGTAGTGTTATGAGATATAATTGACGCACCTCACTGTCAAATGTGTACATTTAAGTTGTACAGCAGAATGACTTGATATATTGCACAGCAGTTACCACAGTAAGTTTAGTTAATATCCATCACCTCACAGAGGTCAAAAAAAGAAAGAAAAGCATAAGAGAAAAAAGACATTTTTTCCTTGTAATGAGAACTTTTAGGGTTTGCTCTTTCAGTAACTTTCCCACAGCTTGTGGACCAATCATAAACTACAATAAAACAAAATGCTATGAAAATGAAATCAAAAGACATAAAATACAAACCTTGGGTTTTAAAATTGTTATTAGGTTCAACAGATTGAAAATTGTGCCATCAAATAGCTAGAAAGGTTTATAACTATTCACTTTTAGGGTTTGTAATTTGTCTCATTGGAACCTGTGGCAAACATTCCCTGTCCGGCACTGGACCCCAACCCCCAGCTCCACTGGGAATAGCTTATCAATGTAGAGCTGGGGTCAAGGGAGCGGGAAGACCCAGTTCCCTAACAGAGGGAGAGGGGACGATGACCGATCTCCCATTCCAGGCAGAAACCACTGTCTACGTCATAGTTAGATGTCAGCTGGATGAGAGGGTGATGACGGAAGCGGAATTTTCTCCTGAGGATTCTCCCTCGATAAGAGTGGAAGCCAAGTTGGAGAATGAGTACACTGTTTCTGTGAAGGCTCCCAGTAAGTAGCCACAACTTTATTTTATTTTTTAAAGATTTATTTTATTTATACAAGAGCTGGGGTACAGCCAAGATGCGCAGGAGGATGAGAGGATTCACCAGAGACAGAACGGGAAACAGAACAGGCAGACTGACAAAATACACTGCAGAAGGGAGCAGCAGGCGAGACAGGAGAGGTCTGCTGCACCATGTGGGTATCCCTGTGGCTGGCTGGGATTGAACCAGCGCTGCAGAGGCTGTGGACAGCTTCACAGCGCTGCGTTCAACCACCTGCACCACCAGAGAGGCCCAGTAGCCGCACCTTTAGAAAGTACCATTGTGTCTAGGAAAAGACTGACTTTTGCTTCTCTTACTTGTCCTGAATTACTTAACAAGATTTGGATTTGGTTATCATGTTCTATTTTAAAGGAAAAGGACATTGTAGAAATATACATATGTGGTGGAGAATGGATGGATTTATTTACATTTTTATTACAACAAAGTTAATATATTAAAATTTTTTGAAATTAAAGAAAAGTAGGAAAAAAGTCATCTGACACTTCGCCACTCAGTGTTTGGCCTCTGGTCACAATTTATAAAGATAGTTGTTCCAATACTAACTATTGCTTTATATTCTGTTTTTTTCTTTATGTAATCTTATTATCCCATGCCATAACATGGCCTTTGTAACTTTATATTTTTATAACATATTTTTCTATTATAAAAGTAATGCTTGCTTAATTTAGAAAATTTAAAGACTACAATAATAAAGGAAAGTAAATAGAAAATTATGCATACACTGACCCCAAAGGAAGTCTCTGGTTTCTGTATTTTTCCACATCTGTGTATAGTTTCATAGTGTCATGTAGCCCACTTTTGTTACTCAGAAATATACCGTGAATATTTCCCATGTTAAAAAATATTCATTTACAACTTGAAGTTTAAAGGTTGCAAGGTAATCCATTGTATAAATGTTCCATAATTTATAAAGCCCTGTGTCCCTTGTGCCAGGCCTAAGTCTTAAAACCATAATTTTAGGCTATGTGATATTTGGTTGAATAAAAATGTAGCCTAGTATTTAAATTTTTTTATTTCTTCATTATTGCATGTTTATGTGATTTCTGATTTCTTATTGTCTGGTGTTATTTTAAGTTATGCCATTTTGAATATCTTTCCATATGTACAATTTTTTCTGTATTTAGGATTATTTGCTAAAGATGGAATCTCTAAAACAGTGGATATTTTTCAGGGTGTTGGAAAATGGTGCTTAATTGCACTCTAAAATATTACTACTATCAAGTTTATTTGCTATATCAAGTTTATATATCACCACCAAGATTAGGTGCTATCATTTTAAATATTTTTGCTAATTTGATATATTTTTCAGAAGCAGTCCATTGTTTTAATTTGCATTTCTTTGATTACTAGTGATGTTGAGTGTTTTTCCATGTTCTCTACTTGTCACATTTCCTCTTTTGTGAATCGAATCTTTGTGGTTGGTATATTTTTAATTTTTTCTTTCCCCTTCAAAACCCCTTCCTGTGGTGTGGAAAAGAGCACTGGGGGGAGCCAAGTAGTGACACCAGCGGAGCGAGTAGTCCATTCTCTTTTTTTAAAAAAATTTATTTATACATACAAGAACTGGGGTACAGGCCAGAGGTGCAGGGTGTAAGGATTCACCAGAGACAGAGTGGGAAGCTGAACAGGCGGATCTACTGAAATACACTGCTAAGGGGAGCAGCGGGTGAGACAGGAGAGGTCTGCTGCGCCATGTGGGTAGCTCCCTGGCCGGCCGGGGATTGAACTCACACTGCAGAGGCTGTGGACAACTTCATAGTGCTGTGTCTTAACCCCTTGCACCACCAGGTAGGCCTGCGAGTAGTCAATTCTACTGACCCAATGATGGAAACATGGAGTTCCGCCTGCCAGAATCCTTCCTACCTCTGGGGACCCCAATATTCTGCATAAAGCACTTTAATCTCAACTCTTCTTCCTGTTTATTGTGGCACTAGGCCTACAGTAGTGAATAAAGTTGATGGAACTCATTCAAAAACTAAATTGCAACCCCGATGAGGATAATTCCTGACTCAGCAATCTGCCATATCCGGTCTATCATCTACTTCTACCCTTTCCAAGACTCCCCTAGCCCAGCCACCAATTCATTTCTTCACCTTTAGGATGGGACATATCCATCCAGGAACACTTTTCTCTGGACCCTTGTTCTTCTTGGGCACTCTTATAGTATCTTTTCTTCTGTTCAGACCTTTCATCTGGAACTGTTTCTCTGAAGATATATTCCGGGGACTTGGTGGTATGTGAAACTGTTATAAGCTATTATACTGACATGGAAGAAATTGGGAATTTGTTGTCCAATGCTGCGAATCCTGTGGAGTTCATGTGTCAGGTAAGGATGTTTCGAACAGAAACCTTGAGTTTTCTGGTCATATGGTTACTATTCATGATTCAATAGCCTTAAATCTGCTGGATGGGAGATGGCTGGATTTACTATCTGACTGTCTTCACTTTCACATTCAGGCCTTTAAAATTGTGCCCTACAACACAGAGACTCTTGATAAACTGCTAACCGAGTCCCTGAAGAACAACATTCCCTCAAGTGGGCTGCACCTCTTTGGAATCAACCAGTTGGAAGAAGAAGATATGATGACAAGTAAGTTAACCATTGAAGCTCAGGAAACCAATGGTGGGTTGATTTCAGCCTGTTGGTTTCAGCATCCAGTAAACCTGTGCTCATGCTCTCTGTTAGTTCCTACAGCTCATCCTCTGAGAAGGAGTCATTCTTCGTTGGGTAGCCAGAGATTCTTCAAAATTCAGCCTGAATACTTCATTCCCTTGCAAAAACTTTTTTGTGGTTCCCACTGGCCTTCTAGATAAAGCAAATAAACTTCTTGGCTTGTTTAGAAGCCCATCCCAGGTGCTCCTGTTGCATTTCTATCCTTACCTCTCTCCACTCTCCCCCTTGGCTTCCGTGCTCTCCTGCATGGATGATATGAACATATTTCATCTGTTGACAATTCTGCCCTATTTCTTGCCACTTTGACACATGGGAATAGAGTTTCTTCCTTCTCGCCTGGTTGTCATCTACCTTGTTAACTTCTCTTCACCTCCCTGCAGCATTTTAGGTAGCACTTTCTCAGGAAGACCTTCTTGAGTCTCTGGTTGCATCCGGGTTCTGTGAATTCCTTAGGTAGGTGGGCTTCCCTAGCATGCGAGTGTGCTGGCCTAGCATTCCTCAGCGGTGTTTGTCTTCTTTGCTAGTCTGTCAGCTCAGCAAGGGTGGGACTGTACCTGGGTAGCTCACTGTAGACTCAAATTAAATATTTATTCGATAAGGGAAGAGCAGTCTCTTTGTATGTGTGGCGTGTGGAAACTGGGAGATGTACCCAAGAGCCTCTTGCATGGGAACGGTTTCTGGTGCTTGGGCAAGATGCCCATTGTGGCGCTTCTGTGGGCACTGCTCTTCCTTCACTCTGTGGGTCCATTGTCACCTGCCTGTGTTTCATTTTTCCACACCTGAGAGAACCATAAAGTCGAGGATATGCACCTTCAATCCTCTTCCTGGGGGCATCCTCTTATTGCCTCTCCTCATTTTCCTACTATGGAATATTCTTGCATCACTTCCAGCAGGTGCTAATATTCTCTACTCTTCAACTTGGAGGTAGAGGAGAGAATATTTCATAGCCTGACAATGTAGTACTTCATGGCTGCTATTTAAACCTTTAAGAAATCAGCACATTTTGAATTCATATTATTTCTCAGAATTCCTCCATCCTTTTGGAGAAAGAAGATAGAATATTAGTTATTAGATTTGCTAATTAATGAAAATATCATTTATTTTGTCATCGGAAGGCATGATATCTAGTGGTGTCCCAGAGGAAGCTGTCTGATGTTAGGTCAATCAGCCAACACATAGTGATTAGTGCCTGTTGGAAGCTGTACTCGGCCTGGCAGCTTTCTTTCTGTGAACAGCAGTGCCTTGTGCCTTCATTTCTGTCACATGAAGTTTTCCTTGACAATTTTTCAGATCAGAGAGATGAAGAACTGCCTACCTTGTTGCATTTTGCTGCAAAGTATGGACTGAAGAACCTCACTGCCTTGTTACTCACCTGCCCTGGAGCCCTACAGGCATACAGTGTGGCCAACAAACACGGCCACTACCCCAACACCATCGCTGAGAAACATGGCTTCAAGGACCTGCGGCAGTTCATCGACGAATATGTGGTAAGGTCAAGGCAGGAGAGGCTCTGATTAGAAGTCAGTGTGGTGCTAGGGCTGCCTTTCACCAAAGACATGGTCAGATTTCATGCCACTCTTGAGGTGTGTCTTCATGTGCCATATACTGGCACATGAGGGATGAGCCTTGGAGTCTCATGGATCTGGGTTCAAACCCTGGACCAACATTTGTCAGCCATGTAACTTTGGGCAGATCACATATTCTTTCTCTCAGTTTCCTAATATGCAGAAGGAAGATAGTAATAGTTTCTGTCAGTGTAGTTATGAGGGTAAAAGGAATGTGTGTAATGCACTGAGGTCTACCCTCAACAAATTTGCAGTGAATTTTACAAAGACTTTAGCATGAGTCTACTGAAGGTTGACGCTGATCCCTCATCTCAATCATCTTTTTATTCACCAACAAAGCAATTTGGTGAGATGCTTCCAGTCACTTTGCCCACCATTAGGCCCAGGTGAATTGTATCCTTCCTTAGCAGAGACCACAATAAGACTTTGTACCTGAGGTTTCAGGGAGGCCAGCAAAACCCCTTTCTACTGACTCTCTACCTGAGTCTGAGTTGTGTTAAGGTAGATATGCTCAGTGTAACTCCTCATCCTGTTTTGGATCCTTCTCTCCTCTTTGATGGTTGACCTCTCGGTCCCATCCAAGGTAGAACTCCACACCCAACATTGGTCCCATTGTCTGGGAGACAGCTGCCTTCCTAATGTTTCCCCTTTCCTCTACCTTCGAGATTCACAGAGAGGATTCAAGAATAGCTCAGTCTCTTGTCAAGGCTGTGACCTCAAAATGAACAAGAAACACAATTCAATTTTTGCTTTCTACCTTCACATAGAACAGTGCCTGACACCTCCCCAGAAACTCAACTCTGTGCTCTGACAGTCTATAAGACAGTGACTCACCGAGACATATAAAGGGGTTTCCCAAAATCTGAGGGTGATTAAGCGTTTTGAATGAATAGAATATTACAAGTCCCTGTTTGCAATATAATTAACATAAAAGTGCTCACAGTGGGGGCATATTTACTCAGCTTTACTTTGCCAAAGTTACAGTGTATAAAGTGCTGTGTTTCATTTCCATGCCACTCATTTTTATTAAGGACAGACTGTGTTCATAGTAATGACTACTCTTTATTGAGTTAATTTTATTGGCTGATGCACCGTCTCATTTAATCCTCACCACAATCCTTTGAAGCTGACAATAGCATCATCCTTCTTTAAAAAATGACGGAAAGGGCTTCACAAGGCAAAGCCATGTGCCTTGGGTCACACCTAGTAAGGCTGGAGATAGGATTTGAACCTAGTTTGGAGCTAACGCTGAGGCTTGTTATCTTGTTCCAGGTAACAAGGGAATTTAGAGATGCCCTTTCAGTTAGCACTAAAGTTAATCTGGTTCACATTTCTCGTAGCATCTTGGGTCTCCAACTATAATCATCTTCAACCGATTCATCCTCAGCATCACTACCGAAAGGTTGTCTCTCTGTGCTGTTCATGACCTCTAATAACTGCCCTGTTTTCTCTTTCCACCACATCAAAGCCAAATGCAGACCCTGGGTCTCCAACACCATGCAGCTGTCACCTGGTCCACTGCTTGGGTCTCCTTAGGAAACCAGCACAGAATGTCAATAGCAGATTAGCCCTCTTGGGGCAGTGATGACGAAAAGGAGGATTTCTGTGGGTTGATGCTGAAATAGGGTTGTGAAATACCGACGTTTCTTACCAGGAGAAGTTGTGCAGAACTTTCAGGGAACCCAACTCTCTGGCTTCACAACCCCCGGAGGCAGAATGACAGAGGCTTCAGGTCACTTTATCCAGGGCCGTCTCTCCTCGCAGGCACCATCCCTGGGGGCCACTTGGGAGAAGCACACAGCCAGATACTTTGCAAAGCTTGCTGGCACGCGCAGGGACTAGTGACTGGAGACCACAGGGGTTACTGCCTGCACAGAGGAGTAGTGAGAGCACCTGAACTGCAGGTCTAGTAGCTCATGTGAATTTCCATGTGGCCAGTCAGTACGGTCTACACCTCATGTGTGTTTTGTTCCTCTTTGAGGAACTACCAGGGTATAGTCGAAAGGCCACAAGCCAGGACTGCAGGCCCTGGAGCCAGGCAGTGGCTGTTTCTGAGCTTTGGTTTTCTCATCTGTGACCTAGAGAATATTATATTTTTCTTTAGCTATGGTGGGAAGGATGACACAACATGAGGTAGAGGCTGGTACTTTGTAGCATACCTGACACACAATCGATGCTCATGACAGAGTTTAAATTCATATCCTTTGCTCAGTGGACATTTAACATGTGTCTCCTGACGTATGACCCTGTGCTAGGTGTTGGGCTAAGATACAAAGATTATCGTAAAACAAAACAGGACATGGAACCTGGCCTCAAAGAGCTTTCAGTCTGAGGGAAATGCAGACAGTGGCAAACCTGACTACCTGTCACCAGCCCACTCAGAGGGGCCTTATGACCCCAGAAAGCTCATGTCCCAGTGTGGGTCCATATTCTCTTCCAGGAAACTGTGGACATGCTGAAGAGTCACATTAAAGAGGAACTGATGCAAGGGGAGGAGACGGACGCGGTATATGAGTCCATGGCCCACCTTTCCACAGACCTGCTCATGAAATGCTCCCTCAATCCCGGCTGTGACGAGGAGCTGTACGAGTCCATGGCTGCCTTCGCCCCTGCTGCCACAGAAGACCTCTGTAAGTAGCGCGGTCCAGCTCTGTGTCCGCTGTTCTGACAAACAGGCTTCTTCCTTCTGGTGTGAGGGGAAGTCCCTGCCTCTCTCCCCTCCCCGAGAAAAAGATCCTGTTTTACACAAAGTTAAATCTGTCATCATAAGCTGTGACTGGCAGACTCCTTCTACAAACTTCCTCTGCTGGACCTGCTGTGTGACTGGAAGGTTCCAGCAAGTCCTGGAAATCAGAAGGTTCCAGCAAGTCCTGGAAATCAGAGTTGATGAAGCCGTTGCTAAATCAGTGGCTGTCAACCCAGTGAGGCCCAGTGGGTCATTATAATGAAAATGTTGTAACATCCCCTTGAATGCCCCTGACCTTGTTACTGCTACAATAGGTTTATACATAGTATAACCTACCTACATATGAAATTTTCAGAAACCAAATGTATGTGCTAACTGAAATATAAAAGAGATGATAGGAGAGAAAATGCACAGGTAACAGGAACACAGTGAAGTAGTCAGAAGCAGATACCTACACTCAGAATCGCTGCCGGTGTCTTGGCCTCAATGCTGGGTGACGCATGTCTGCTGTGCTGGTGGCTCAGCCTGACGCCGCCCCCAACAGTGGGCATTCACATCTGGGTTTTCCTAAGTGAAATGATTCTTACTCTCCTCTCTATTCTCATATTAATCAAATTCCTGGGAAATTCAGTATATATTAAAACTGTGAAAAACAGAAGTTTTATTAATATATCAAACAGTTCACATTCTAGGCTCAAAAAAACATAAGTAGATATTTTTAGGGTAACCTGACTTTATTGGCTTAATATATAATAAACTTATTTCCAAAAGAAATCCCCAAGACATGATTACTTTTCTAAGTTGAAGAACAAATTTTTGTTTGTTTTTGCTTATCTTAATGATTTTCCCCAGTAGCAGAAGTAATGGATTCTTATAAAAACTTGAGATAAAATAGAAATGTACAACCAAGTTGATAAAATTCCATATAACTCCACCCAACCAACCAACATGGCACTAGTAATAGTTTGGTGAATATATTTGTCCTTGTTTTCCCTGGTATCTGCTGACATTAAATAAACAATATATACAGTCAAACATATGCACATATATGGAGAAATACGCATGTGTATAAATAATGCACCTTATGCAGTTATTTCTTTATATATTTATAGTGGAATATTGAAAAGACACGAGGGATGTGAAACAGTTCACTGTGCAGGGCTCTCCTGCACCTTGCAGGGTGACTGGGTCCTTCTCCCCTCTCATCCTTCCTTTCCTCAGTTAAGTGCCATTATGGTTACAACACCATTTTGGTGACATCTCAAAATACCCTTATGGATTTTCAAAGCCCCCAGAGACAGCAGTGTTGCTCCCTTTGAGAACGACTAAAGAAGGTTGGATTTTAGGGCTGGAACAGGGTTGAAGAAGACTCAAAGAGCCTTCCTAATAAGTTAGCGCTAGTTGCTATCAAATGTTAAGCACTCTGAAGCTCTGCCTAAGACATAGTTCTCTTTGCCTCTGATTAATATCCCCCAAAGACAGGCAAATACCCATCAGTGTATCAGCTATATTGATAGAGGGCTTTCTGGAATGGGCTAGATTGAATGTTGCCACCTTTCAGCCTGAAAAGAGGACAGTGGCTGCTAAGTGCTTTCCAGGGGAGACTAGAAGGAAAAAGAGGTAGACCTTGTCCTGTAACTCCCCCTCCCAGTCTCTGGGAGAACTGGGGGTACTGGTGAAACTCCTGCTAAATGTACCCTAACCAGGCAGGAATGCCAGGAGAGAAAGCGTCTTCCCGCTATCCATGGACTTTATCTCAATAAATCCTTAAAGTAACCCTATAAGGATGTGTTTATTGCCTGTGCTTTACAAATGAGAAGACTGAGGCACAGAGAGGTAAAAAACCTTCCCAAAGTCTCACTGCTAGTAAGTGATAGAATCCAGATTTCAACCTAGGTCTCTCTGTCCCTAGAGCTGTATTATTTATTGTGTGCCAGAAATTTCAGCCCTGGTTTCTTTCAGAAAAATCATCCAGCAGCTACAGCCATGCTTCCTCTTTCTGCAGCCCAGACATTAGCTCACAAATCAGCCTCTGGCGCCCCCTGCCCTCTCTCCTCCATCCCTCCGTCCTTCCATACACCCAACCAGCCAACATCAGTTTTATTTCAGCTACTTGTCTCTCTTGGCTGCTAGAGAGACAAAGGCAGAGGGTGCTGGGGCGGGCAAACAATCCTTTATTCCACTGTGGAACAGAGGCCCCTGAACACTTAGGGAATGATCAGTATCCACTTGGGGAGCCAGACATCAGGTATCATCATTTTTACCCTGTGCACTTCTCATGGGGCTGTTGAACGATGAAGAAATCCCCACTGGACTGGCTGTGTTGAGAGACAGGGAGCCCTAAACCTGTTATCAGACTGGATGGTGTGACTGGTGAAATCCCCACCCCTGTCAGTGAAAAACTGTGGGGTTGGGGGGTTAAGAAGGAGGATATAAAGGCACCACCCACTCCTCCTCACTTGTTGGGCCCTTGCAGGGGGAGTGGCGAGGTTCTTCAGCAACTGAGTGCCATGAAGCTAGACTGGTTTGTGGTCAGTTGGCAACTTGTAAAGTTATGGGGGGCCAAAGGGATTCTGGTTGCTGTGGAGGGAGGAGGCTGCCTTTGAATAGGGAAAGGAAACCCACTGCAGATCATATAAACTCTGAATGTTCTGATTCTGGACATGGTTTAGTTTGTGTTTCTGTCTCTGTGATTTAATCTGAAAACCACCACTTCCCAACCAGCCAGAAGAAGCAGCACTTGTACGTGGGGGGAGCCATTCATTTACTGCCAGTGACTCTATGAGAGAAGGCAATTTAGTTTATAAAGAAGTGGGATAGAAGGCAAACTGATAAACAAAAGATGCATATTTGCAGAATTGTAAGTTATCTACCAGCCCTTTCAAGTCAAGTACTGCTTTTACCTGTGTTATCTGATCATCCTTGGGCTTGGTAAGTAGAATTATCTCCATTTTGCAGGGGAGAAAACTAAGGCTCTGAGATTTCATAACTTACGTAAGCCTCATGAAGCTGGGTCAGGAATCTGGGTTTGCATATTCCCAAGGGACAAGTCTGCTCCTCACTGGGCTACTAGACTGTCCTGGCCTGCCCTTCTTCTAGGGTCTGCATTTGCCAGACCTGGGAAGTGCCCTTAGGAGCTATTTCTAAATGTCTAAATAGCTGATATGGTCTCATTCAACCCCAGAGGTTGAAAATAAGCAAATTAAAGAGAATGGGTTGTGTTTCTTGACTCACTCATCTGCTCGCTTGCAGAACAAGAATGATCACAGGCTTTAGGTCTACCTTGGCTGTCACTAACTGTGTGGGGCCAGACCTGCCTCTTTCTGATATGAAATCCAAAATAACCTCTAAGTAGGAAAGATGGCAGGAAAACTCCCAGTGTTGAACAAAGGGGCACTGGGGACAATGTTAGCTATTGGGCTCTGAGCCTGAGATTTCATGAGTCAAATCCAGTCTCTTCACGTGTGATGTGTACACACTCTCTCTCTCTCTCTCTATCTCTCTCTCTCTCTCTCTCTCTCTCTCTCTCTCTCTCTCTCTCTCTCTCTCCCCCTCTCTCTCTCACTCACTTGTGGTCTTTAGTTTAGATATGCTGCCACCAGGTGGTAACTTCATGTCTTCATTATCAGGCCTTCAATTGTGCTGCCAATTCTCTTGATAATTTTTTGTTCAAGTCCCCACTGATTCGAACCATCAACTTTTGAGTGACACTATAGAATGTCTTTCTTAAGGGCAAACTTATACACACACCAAGTAAAAATAAAGGCAACAGACCTCTCTTTGGGTGTTTTCATTATCTTGGAATCTTATTCTCATTGGGTTCTTTGATCCCGATCCTTGCCTTCAGAGAATGATTTGGTCCTGGTGCTCTTTCAACTTTGGTAATAAATTTGGTTTGGAAGGCCTCACTCAGTAACTGGTCACTTCCCTGAGGCTCTGGGTTCTAAGGCCTTGGGAACCATTTTTAGGAGGCCTTGTCCAGCTGTTTCCAAGGTCATCTGCTTATAGATTTACCTCTGTTTAACTATCCCACAAGTTTGTCTTTCTTCTATAAGGAGAAAAGAGTAAAAGAAGAAAGGCTAGTATTTCACTTCTGGAAATTGTAAACTCTCAGGAGTCTCTGCTTCGTGTGACTCCTGCCTTGAACTTTTCTTTTGCACTCCCATTACCACTGCTCCCTTCTGTGGCTCAAGTTTAAGCATAGCAGAAAGCTGATGGAACCCTCTCTGACTTGCTGGCTTCCCTTAGCAACCTCCTTGGTAACTGCTGTCTTTGTGCCCGATCATCTCCAACTGTGCTTTCTTTACCTGGGCTCTCTGATTTCAACCCTCTCTGACCTGGGTCTCCTCTGAGCTGAGGGCACTTGAGGGCACATTAAAGGGCCTCATTTCCCAATCCTATAAGGTCTGTGCTCAGCTTCAGGACCATCTATAAGCAAAATTGTTAAGTTACAGATTTGCTTCTGGAACTATCTGCACCTTTTCTCTGGGGAACCTCAACCTGTGGCTGCTGAGCCTTTGCCATCTTTATACTGTCCATCTTGAGAAGACTGGCTCATAGAATCAAGAGATGCTTTTAGCAGGGGAAAGGGAGGCTGATGTGGGAGATGAGACTCAGCTCTTCCTGACTTCAATTGCTTTTGACTCCTCCAGACATACAGCAGCTGTGGGGGCACATAAGCACTTGGTGAAGTTATGCACTCTCTCTCTCTCTCTCTCTCTTTTTAAGATTATCTTTTTTTAAATTTATTTATACAAGAACCGGGGTACAGGCCAGGTGCGCGGGAGGGTGAGAGGATTCACCAGAGACAGAATGGAGAACAGAACAGGCAGACTGACTGAAATACACTGCTAAGGGGAGCAGCGGGTGAGACGGGAGAGGTCTGCCATGCCATGTGGGATTCTCGCCAGCCAGACTGGATCGAACCAGCGCTGCAGAGGCTGC